TTGCCATGCTCTAATATCCACTTCATTGTTTGCTAGTTTCATTGCATTCTAAAGATGGCACTTCTCAGTATCTGGCGTTTCTATATGCTTTCAACTGTAATTTCCCCATTCGTTGAACGCAGCCACAGTATTTTAACCATCTCTATAAGTTGTTTTTTGACCTTATAGTCTAACCTCGTTTCGGAATTGGGGTGTGGGTTTTCTACTAAACTTGGACCTTGACCCACTCACTCCTTCCTTCGGTTATACTTTTATGGCCATAAATTCGTCCCCTCACCACAACCATGGGTGTAGTAAAATTGTGGATTTTTCAAATTGGCTGGACTTTCTGATTCATTAAGCAATCTTTTTGTGCCTCACTTTAGGGAGGGAACCCACAGGTTCACTACAGGAACTGTTCTTTCTTATCAATAATAAAGAAAAACTTAAGTCGTTCTTTCGTAGGGAATGTCGGTCCCATCATAGGTATCTGTTTGCGTCTAAGAGTTCTCCGCCACTTTCCTACTAATTGTGTCGATTTTAAAACCTCCCCTTCTGTGTCGAAATAAGCACCTCTCTGCGACAACGGCCGTTGGTCAGACTCCTCGGTCGCCCTGTTGGCCACTTTAGATTGTGCCACACGGCGTCCAATTGCATTGATGAATGTTCGCGCGGGTGCGTGCGTGCTCGTGTGAGATGGGACAAGGAGGTGAAATACGAAATGTAGCAATAATGGGCTGTTAAGAGGCACGCGCCGGGCGTTGATACCTTCATGTGCTAACACCGGCCTACCAATCAGAGCTGGCGACAGAGTGGCGGCAGGTCGGAACAGCTACTACCACGTCTACTGCCTACTACGAGGGCGGGGGAAGATAATCGCTGCTGCGATGCTGGAGGCATCATAGCAAGGGTGCGTGCTTGTGGTGCGCATGTGTATCCCGACCGCCCATTCGCCACCTATGTGATGTGCGTGCGCGTTGAATGTGCGCAGGTGTCTGTGTGCGTGTGTGCGTGCGTGCTGGCCAGACGTCATGTGCGCGCTGGTCTGCGGTGCGTCCGTGGCGGGCTATCGATTTCGCTGTTGCGTGTGTGTGCGAGCGCGCGCGGATTAACTTTCTGTTTGCTGACTAAGTACGTTTACAACGCGACTACTGTCGTAGTTACCGAAGCTTTGCAAGAGAAGGCGGAGATTAGGCTTTCATTTGATTTCACTTCCGTGTCTCATTCTGGTCCTTAGAAGGCCCTATTCCAATCCACCAGTCTCTGACTGCGTTTAAAGAAACAAATTTCCGTGACAGATTCTGAAATTAGCATCGAAAAGTATCCTTTCGGAGGATATTATAGAAGATAAAATAAGCTTTTTCAAAATCCATTCCTTTCAGAAGCTGCCGACGCATCATGAACGTGCCAACTTATAGCAAGTTAGAACCGTGCTGAGTTTTTAGTTCTCGGTTAAGTGTGTCAAAAAATCCATGATGCTTCTTAAAAGCCATAATATCACTATTTTCCCAACATGTGACATTTTTGCCAATAAGTGGTAATGGTTTAAACTCAACTCGACAAAAGTAGTTCTTATTTCAAATAATGGTAGAAGTGGTAACTTATTAACCGAAAGACGCTTAAGTTAAGGCTTTTTTCGTCTCTGCGACCGATAAAAATTACCCAGCAGACGTCGTGACGTCTCTTTTGCTCCCCGGCTATCGCATTTTTACAGGATCGTTATCTTTGCTTCCCGATGGATTGCCGTTCAGCTTTTCAAAGATGCGTTAAAGAACTTGACTTAATTTTTGCGGAAAGATGACGCGTTTTAGAGGCGCAGTTCAGTCACTAGCAGAGTTACCGTAACTACCACATTATAATTAAGCAATGGTTTCCTTAAACTGGAGGGAAATGGAGTCGTCCACCTTTTCCGGATGAGTAAGTTTAAGTTGTGTTGTGGAAGGTTTCAGGCGTCTATTTCCAAACTCATAGTCTAATTTTCGCGAACCGCTATCACTAGAATCCGATTTTTAAATTACAGACGCCAGATCTTCAAAGCCGTTCATCGCCCCAAACCTTTCATCAGGAGTCTCTGTCTGGAATGGGTCCCAGACAGGGCTCTCTGCCTCGCTCTGATCGATCCTCAAACTCATCTGCTGATGAGTTCGCTCCCCCCTCGCTGCCTCCGAGGTCAGTTTGCCCTCTTATCTTCAAGAGAATTCATTCAAGAATGTGGTTTTTATTTTGAACGATTTTAAATTCTTTTAAAACGGCCCATATTGTTAGCTAAAATCACACCGAACCGGACCATATCATCGTGACAGCGCGGTTCTTTTTGTGAGTCACGTTTTTTTGTTGCAATAGCGCTGTCTCCACCGCACTGCGGAGTGGTTAAATGGGCAATCGTGCGTGTATTTGGATTATTTTAACATGCACCGGAAACCGGCTGTCAGTACAAAAAACGTCCATAGTCGTTCGTGTGCTACCCTCGGAATTCCCACTCTCCTAGGCTGTGACCATAAAAATGCTCTGAGGTTTTTCTGTTGGGAAATAGGGTGCTGGATAGGTCAAATGTGGGTTGGTCTATTTTCCAGCATCCCGCACTCACTGATGCCTTCTAGCCCCGGATTTGATTTTGCTCTAATTGTCACCAGTTGAAAAGCGCTAGGATCTTTAGTTTTATTCTTTATAGGTATCTGATTAATCTCCAATTGCAAACCCTCTAAAAAGTTCTCACTAGATTTTGTTCTAATTATTAATACTTAATTCACCGAAGAAGCCCAGGTGGATCTTTTCACCGTGCATTCGGTTGCACGGTTGTTCGAGAATAGGTGTAGAATTGAAGACGAGGAAACCTGAATGAAATATTTACGGGAACCTCATTTTAATTTCTAACAAAAGTCTTCCGACTTTGCTTTTTTTTCGCCAAGTAACCTGGACAAATCGCTCTTCCATGCATACGTGTACATAAACAAACGGGGAGGAGATTTTAATTTCAAAGTTACCATGATATCATTGCATTTTCATCCCACTTTTTGAAAATTGGCCTAAACAGGTTCCCCTATACATTCTCCACTTCGGTAGTCTTGCTTTTGTGCTCACGGTAAGGGTGAATTGCCGTGAGTTTTGTAAAATCTCCTTTTAACGTCGCATTTCATCGATTCTGGCTACATTGGAAGCATGATTTTCATAAATTGTGTCAATCGGGTAAAGTGTGAATTGTATTTCAAAATTGTGGGAATTGTTGCTGCTCTGATTAACTTAAGCTAAATTCAGGAAACCACAATTAATATCGCCTACTCTGTATGTGTTTTACCATACCACACCAGATAGTTGCGATTATATGATCTAGTAAACCTACTGCTAGCGATTTTACTTTGTAGATGAAAACACATGTTGACGCGGAAATTAAATGCTTATTACTCTGCGATGGTACAATAATTAATTCATGAGTGCTTACCGAGCCGACTGCCACTTTTTTATTCTCCTCGGAGTGCAGACGTAATCCGCCACCACCACCGCCTCGAAGCGGCAGTGGTTTATGCACCTCGCAGCCTCTATCGCCACAGCAACCGCCTCATCATCAGCCTCAGCAACAGCATCATAATCAATGTCTATCACCGGATCAAAGGCGTTACTCCGCCGCCGCTGTCGCTGCTCGCCAACGTCCCTCTCCGCCCCAGCGCGCCTCGGTGCAGCCCCCTCCGCCCCCACCACCGCCCCCAGAGGTGGTCTCGGAGTCTGTGGATTTGGAGGTGACTAACGGTCTGCTGCGCCTCCTCTTCGCTCGGTTTGCGGGCACCGCCGCTCCTTCCGCCGGCATCGGCACCAGCGTGTCTGCTGCGGAGGGCGGAGCACCCGACCTACGACGAGTGGTGGCGCATCTGGTCCGCATCGCTCACACAGAGATTTATATCCAACCGCCAAGTCTGCAAACGCCGCAACGGTGTCTAGAGGCCTCGGTGGGACCTAGTGGTGGGTTGTTGGAAAAAATGGAGGCGTCGATTTATGAACAGGCACCGCCTTCATCTGCCTCCCATTTACATTCTGGTAGGTAGTGTGTGTAATCATTGGCTTCTCTTGCATGATGCGTAACTAGGCTGTGCACAAATGAACACGGTATTTAGTTTCATGTCCCCATTAAGCTCCGCGCAGTTCCTTTTTATCACTAATTAACGAGCCTTTCTCAAGCCTAGTTAGTATTTTCTTGGTATATTCTGTTGTTTTAAAGGCATGTATTTTCTTATCCTTCATTTTTAGTTTCTGAACAGGCCAGCACGGTTTTTTTAGTGTTTTGTGCCTCATCATATTCCCTTTGACCACTGGATGGCAAGTTCTCTGTAGTTGGTTTATGTCCTTTCGCAATGCATGCTGGGGTCCCAGCCATCAAGTCTATCTCCGATTGAATGGAAGGTCTATAAACTGGTGTTCCTGCTGCTTTACACAAGATGTAAATGTCTCTGAATGGAACTGTTATGGTGGCGGAGCACTGAGGTGTGCAGACGGCGCAATTGGAGTTACGTTTACCTACAATGGGAGTCTGAATTAACGTGCAATAAAAACAGTCTACGTGCCATGATCAATGCTTTGATGAAAACACTGCTTGTGATCCCATTGCATAGGAGGTGTGATCGTCTTTTAAGTCGAAATCCTTAATTTTGCTACCATAGTCGAAAGTGAGATGTCATGTAACGTAGTTAAGACTCTGATTGTAGTCGTCACTTTGTATGGAGTCATATGCTCATATCTTGTCTTCGGCTTTGAGTAGTGAGCGGCTTTGTTTTGTAGTTAACCTCTACGCTGTTGTATTTCCTGACCTCAATAGACACAAAAGGTGTGAGGAGGACGCATTTCTTGTGCTTCATAATTCAATTTTGCATTCACAGATTATCTACATTTCCTCATAGTCTGAGATTGTTGGAAAAGATTATCCAATTTGTTCCCTCCCTGGACTAAAATTTTGTGCCTCAAGGGCTTATAAAAAGACTGCTTTTCAATGGCTGCTGGTTGAAAATTCCATCGTGCATGCTCTAATCTTCAAAAGAGGTCTTCCCTTTAAAGAGCTTAGCACCGACAGTGTGTTGTCTTTTTTTTGCAGCCACTTCATTCGCGTTTGCTCAGCGTGGGCAGAAAAAAAACATCTAGGCTGGGTTTTCTGTCCAGATAACGTAGTAAATTGCAGAAATTCATGCTTCTGTGAAGCTAGATGATTGTACAGCAAAAAGTGTCATTGCTGACCCTTTAACGCATCATGCGATTGAGGCTTCTACTGAATCCGTAGCTTGAACTGTCCGATTAGATTTAATGAGTTCAACTTCCAAATGAAGAAAGGAGTGAATAGGCGAATCACATTTTTTGTCAGTGAATAAAGGATTTGCATGGGCTCGACCCAGACATAATGGATGGAAATTGAACGGTGATACATGGTTCGAAATCAGAACAATTGGTCAAATAGTTTGAAAATTCCACAAAATTGAATTGTTTTGTTTGTCTCCTTCAGGGAGGGTTTTCGGAACCGACACGGGTGTGGTGAACACAGTAACAAAAGTCCAAAAAGGGAATAATCAAAACGACGAGACAGCCTCTATCTCCTCTTCCTCCTCCGCCTCTTCGGATTCAGCATCTTCTAGCGATGAGGAAGAGGACGAAGCAGATGTTGAAGGCGCGGACTGTGACCTCTACGAGGGTGTAGGAGGCAACGCCAGTTCCCATGGAGCGGGTGCGCCGAGTTCTACCGCCTCCACTCCCCTCTCCGCCCCTAAGGCTGTCTCCCCTGCCATCGCCAATGCGTCTGTTTCACAACAGGCAAACTCATCTACACTACTGACGGTCGCGGAGTTGCATGCGCTTCCACAGAATACGACTATCAAATGTCTCAAGGCTTCTGCTATGCAGGTGAGTAAATTAAGCTATGATCTATCTATGCTTTCGTTCCCCACTTCTGACGGTTTTCTTCGTGTCTTAATGGGAGACCGAGCCACTTTAAGGGGTCGTGTGTATTCTCCAAAACTACATAAGGCCTGTAAGTTTCTAAATCTTTCGATCAAATTCAACTTGCAACCCGGATTTCGGTTTCTAGTGAATTTCGACAACGTCTCGGCAGCTAGAGTATTCATTTTGGGGCTAAGCTTCCAGCCTTTTGAGAAGATTGCTGTCCCGGCGGCAATCTTTATTTTTTATTTCCTAAGTAAATTGGCGTCGAAAAAAGATGTTATTAAGGGCCGTTTCCCAATATTTCAACCGCGATACAGGTAAATCCTTTTTCAATAAACATTTTTTTAACTAAATATCAATGTAAAGCTGACCAATATAGGATTTATTTAGTTAATTTCTCTCTTGTGCTTTGCGAATTCTGGATCAAACTTTGAGTGTGAAAAGGTCTTAGTTTCTTGTTTTCGCACCTCTGTCGCTGCATGATTCGGCCTCAACGACAAAGCCACAGTGGACGTGGCTCCTTTCTCCATGGGTACTGCGAAATGTAGGGTTCACAAGTCCAGCCACCTTGTCGTCCACGTTCTACAAAAAAAACTGCGATTTGGATTACCCATAATCGGATTCTCAGTAAATGTGGCGTTGATCTAATACTTAGGGTAAAACCTTTCCAGAATGGACTCGTGAATCGCAGTATCAAAATATTGAGGACTCCCGCTTCCGTATATTTTGCAAGTTTGGGTGTCAGGTTTGGTTTTTTATCTGCACTTTTGCTAAGAATTTTGTAAAAAAGCAAGTTTAGTTTCACTTGTTTCAGTAATGTTCGTTATCCAATTAATTATTTAGTGGAGAACAAACCCTCCACTTCTCTTTATCGCTATAGTTGTTTGCATTGTAAACACGAGAAGACGGCTGCTTGCCAAATAGGTGGTGGAACGGCCTTTGAAGACGTTTTGGCTAGAACTCTAAATACCCCTTTACCCTGTTTACCACAACGCTAGACAAGCCGTGTGTGTACGCTTGAACGGTCTTCAGGACAGTGTTTTGATTGAGTCACTCGGGCTTGATATTCACACTGTCCCTCTAGCTCATTTCGCATCAAGAGCCTAGTCATTATCATGGTCTTGAGAGCTAAACTAAAAGCATGCATGTGAATCAAATAAACACTTCCACTACCACCGAACCGCCATCCGATTTCCTTAACCAGGCGCAGCATCAAACCATGCGCCATGTTTTTTATCATCAAGTCATGAGTCACAGTTAGCCAAAAATGTGCTAACAACTGACATGTCATCGTTATAATTAATGACAGCTCTGGGGTCTGATGGTCACTTTTTCTCCGGAACTCTCGCAGTGGATATGCTAATGAATATGCTTTAGAAGGGTACAAATTTCAGCTCTCCTGCCTCTCAATTACAACCAGAATGACTCAGACTGAATGTTGGCACCGGCCACCAGTTACTGCTACTGCCTTTTGCGTATCCCCAAACTGTCCGCATGTCTTTAAACAGGGTGAGGCGTTGGGACGTGTGAGTTGATGCGTCCTCCCTTTTTAGCTATCCTCTTTCTGTGGCCGAGTGAATCAAACTACTTCCATTGCCAACTTGTCAAATAAAAGCATTCCTCTGGGAAATAAAGATATAAACTGGGTTTTTTCCCTAAAAATGACCCAGACTATTTCACTTATCGAACAGTTAAATATTCAAACTACCTCGGGAGTGGTTTACCACGTCTGCCTATCCGCAGAAATAGCTAGAAATAGTACCAGAGAGGCGGAGGTTTTAGGCATTAATTATCACAGTTGCCTTCGGTGATGAGTATGCCTTTAATCTCAGCAGTTACAGCTGCGTTTGACGGTGTTATGGTCAGGCCATTTGAAGTGCCCTCAATAACTTTTTGAGAGCGGATAAAGCCAGACAAGATGTTTTTTTCCTCTCCATTCTTCACTTTGTCAAGGATTTCCGACTACTGTGCCTTCGCATGATTTATGTTAACGGATGTGTATATTATTCGCAAAGAAGACGATACATAAGACGACGGGCCGTGAGAAATGCGCCTTTCGGCGTTCCTCTTTCTCACCGCGTCACAATGAAGATTGATGGGTAGAGGGATCCGGAATGTAAAATACAATCGTTAGTTCTGGTAAACCATACAGAACCGCCAGGCGTTTTTGCTCTTCGTCGCCCCGAACATCGCAATATGTGATCTAAATTGAGTGAGATTATTAGTTTTTTGGATCACGATTCCTCAATTTTAAAGTAGGATCTAAATAAATTAGCTAGTACTGAGCCCTTGTTTCATGAGGTCGTGCTCATTTGCAGAATATAAACTGCATCATAACGTCTTTTCATGAATAACCACGTAGTCTAGGTCCATCTGGCCTAACTAATGACAATTCCTCTGTTTTCTCCAGGCGCTCATCACACTGGTCTCTGCTTACCATCTTGACCCGGCACTGCGCCGACGTGATTTGGACATAGCTCAACTCTTGGCGCGCATACAGGTGTACACAATGACACAGAGCGAACGCGTAGTCGCGGCCCGAGGCGCGGCGGTCGCGGGAGCGGAGGGCCGACTCTCGCCTGACGATGGGCAGCGCGCCGCGCCCACCCACGTGCCTGTGCCTGAAGTGGCCGCTCTCGTTCGCCTCTCCTTCCATCCAAATCATCGGCAGGCTATTTGTGATCTCGGTGCGTGTTTAACATTGTTCATGAGGTGTGGATGGATTTGGTCTGCTCTTCAAAAACGTCGTGTTTTGTCTTTCGTGGCAATGCTAGACAAATTGATCACATAGAGTTATTTTTTTCTTCACTGTGATTGATCTAAAAGTAAATTATGACCTGACCGAGGTCTTCATCTTCGTCCACATGTCAATAACAGTTTCTTGTCACTTCCGTCTGTTATATGATGGATGAAATCCCAGTGTGAATTATTTCTTTCTTCTCCATCCTCCCGTTTCTACTGTTACTATGTTCCCTTGGTTCGCTTTTACGGTGTTAACAGATTAAATCCATTCCATTCTGTTTCGCTCGCTGTTAAAACCACGAATCCTCTTTCACCCTCCTCCATTTGTCACTAATTAATGAGAATTTTACCGGTATACATAATCTACTCGTTCATAGCACTTTTCCTTACCATTTCGGTCTGTCCAAAAACGCGCAACCTTGGTGCGAATTATCTTTTTCCTTCTTCCACCTTACCTTGGATTTTTTTGTTACTGTGTTCATGGGATTCCTTTCTGAGGCATCAGCCAACCAAATTTGCCTGTGGAAAACATTTCCATCAATTTGTTTCACATAAAACCCTCGATCTCTTAACACATTCCTTTTTTACTTTAGTCTTTCCCCCGAATAATTTCACCTCCGGTTGTTGTCGTTGCTGTGTGGGTTTGTATTTCGCGTTTTTTTCGGCATGAAAGCAGATAGCACCTACCGTTGCCACTTCAACTGTCCTAAAAATTGGGTGTAAACTTGGAGCGATTTCTTTTTTTCTCTGCTGCATTACCAGTTTTCGTTTGTAGGCAGTGTACTCTATCTGTCGCCGATTTCTCCCATCTTGTATCTGCCTGAGTAGCTTGCATAACTTTGTTAGACCTCATTCCTTCTCCAAAAGTGGTATTCAGCCCTTGAAGTCTTTTTAACCTAGATTTAAGTTTGCTTGATTTGGAAGGGATCCCTTGGCGTAGCAGAGGCTGTATGTCCAGTCACTATTAATCTGTTTGTTTTATTGAATCCAAAGATCCTTTGAGAATCTTTGCACTAATTCTGAATTCGAATTTATCCAATTTCCATTCATAAGTTTTAATGGCCTTAACAGTTCTACTCATTTACCTAGAAAGACATCGGCTGCTTATTTGCTTATTTCATTTGTTTATTCGTTGAGGCTACATTTTCAAGTACTGAATATGCATCCGTTTTTCTTTTTCATTAGTGATTTGTTTGTTTTGTGGATTTACTAAAATCTGGTAACTAGTTATAACTGCCTTGTAACTCTGTTAAGTAATTCTTCTGTATTGCGGCAATTTTGGTATGTGATAGCATCCAGTTACCTCTCAATGTGGTGTAATGAGCACTAGTCCACGAATAGCTTGGACTTTGTTACTAAGGTCGTGAATAACTCCTGACTGTATGGTGAGGATGAAACGAGATTTGATTGAGGAGCCTGTTTATCACCCTTTACCCCCATTCCCAGGTCACTGGGTCATTTAGATGGGATATTTATTCCCTTTCTTTCCCTTTCCCAACAGGTGGCCTGCATGCCCTTCTAAGCCTTCTACGATGGGAGCACGCATGGTGGCAGTTGCGAGGTGAGCGCGGCCACGTTAACGCCCTCGCCGGCCCAAACAACACCTCCCAGGTGCACTCTACCACCCCGCCTACGAGTGCGGGTTTGGGTGCTGCACCCTTAGGCCAATCAGCTTCCGCAACGGTGGTAGCTGTGGTGGAGCGCGGAGAGACGGCGGCTGTGACGGGGCCTATGACGACGGCGGAGGCGAGTTTGGCCCTGCGTCGCTATATCTGCGTGGCTCTCACGAATCTCACCTTTGGTGCGCCCGCTAACAAGGCCTTTGTGTGCAAACGGCGTAGTCATTTGGAGGCGCTTATCGCCCAACTGGAGGTTGGCAGTGAGGAGTTGAAACAGGCGAGTCTCTCCTGGTTTAGGTTTTTTCGACGATTGGATGACTTGGAGATCAAAGTGACTGATCTTGAGATGATTTATGGTTTCATCAGTTATCATTTCTATAACCGTCTGCTTAAAATATGACCACTTTTACCACTTTGTAGGTTAAATTACAGGTTTCTTCAACAGCTTTTGATCGAACCGTGTGCGAGGACCGAAGTACAATGGTTTCCATCTTTAAAATAGGAATTTTAGCTGAAAAGAAATTTTAGATTTAAGTGTTCTCGAGGTTGTCATCAAATGCCTGACGCAAGTTTATTTTTGCCTCCTTTAAAGAAGAAAAAATCAGAATGACTGGAATAGAATGCGCATGCAGATAACACAAAGCAGAAGAGCGCTATGCAAAGAAGATGCTAAACAGATTCGTGGAGGGCCACGCTAAAATAACAAGACTGACAAGACAAGAACAATAGCATAATGAGTAGAGATAGATTTGCAGTGGTTGTACTGAGGAAAAAAAATATTCCATACCAGGGAATGGTAGTGCGTCCTGAAATTTGAACATTCATAAATACGAAGATCCACGGCGTGTGGATTGTAGGCTTATTGAAGGCTCTAAGGCTGGGTTACCGAGGCGAAAGATGAATTGACTCGGCCTTAGTGGGTGGTTAAATATCAAATGTCCATTTTTAAATTGGTGCAGTGTAATGCATTGCAGTGATTAACCACGTAGTATACGCCAAAGTCATTGCCTACGATACAATTTACTGCTTTAATTTCGAATGGTAAGCTGCCCATTCATTCGACGGGTCGCATCCAGCTATCCAACCCGACTTTCTTTTTCATTCGAGTTAAGGGATTCTTGATGCCCATTCTTGCGTAGGTTTTGGCGTATTAGTTTCGGCCACCACCATCTTTACGTCGACCTGGATGGACTTCCTTCATATCACGATATCTGTGAGGTAAACTGCCTCAGGAAGAAGGATTTACTTAGGTTTTGTTGCTACTATGCAGTGAACACATTCCCTGTTTGTTGCTTTTCACTGGAATAGTTCGCCAAAGGTAGGATGCAATAAGATGTAAGATATAGTGAATAGTAAATCGTTGTGTTCGTTAGTAATCTCGTAGGTTGTCCTTTGGAGACTACTTCAAGTCGCTTAAACCTAATTTCGTTCCCTCTCCGGTCTTTATTGTAAAACTCGGGGAGTAAAGTGATTTCTAAATACCTACGCCACTTTCGCGATTTTTCATCTTGAGATTCAATAAATCCACTTCTCTACCTCGCCTTTCTTTGGAGGTATTTTCTTGTATCCAGCTAACGAAAATCGTGCTTGCCTTTTTTCTGCCAAGATTTTGCAGACGTTGTTTACAAATGTAGGCCTGTGGAATACTTGACTTCTGAAAGATTAAGTCCACACAGTGGATTTATAACATTTAGGTATAGGAACCTAGAAGCAGTTCTACTACCGACGTACGCGAGGGTTGGGAGGCTACCAACATAGGTGACCAATTTGTAGGCCATAGAGAGATACGTGCAAAAGAGATGCAAATCTAAAACACTGGGGCGTTTAAGTCAGGTCAGGACCTATGATTTTGCAAGCGTAAATAGAGTTGTTGCCGTGGCGGTATTCCACGCGGTAGTAATTGAGAAGTGCATCTCATTACACATCAATAGCCATCACTGATGTCGCAAGGCATGGTGTCAAACCTCTCAGTTAGCAGTTAAACGCTGCGGTAAGTGCATGAATGTAGCAGAGGACTAATTCTAAAGCGAAACACAGCTTCAGCTTCCTCGAATGCCTTACTTTTTTAAACTCACAGATCTTGGTTTAACTTGAGCGTTCCTCGTACTACTGATACTAGCACTGCTGCCATCCTAATTTGTTTTTCTGATAGGTGGCAGCAAGCGTGCTACGCAACCTGAGTTGGCACACGGACGCAAGAAGCAAGGCGGCTCTGCGTCGGGCACAGGCGGCCACGCGACTCACCCGTGCAGTGCTCTCGGCACAGCGGGAGGCTACTCTTCGCACCACCCTCAACGCCCTCTGGAACCTCTCCTCTCATTCCACTGCCAACCGCAAGGCTGTCTCCAGGTACTCCTGCTTCTAATTTGTCCGTGTGCTTCTCCTCTATTCCCACCGTCGTGAAATTCTGCTGACCTCCCATTGATTGTACTTCTAAACATGCCGTTGAAGCTCACCCCGTTACCATCTCTTAGTCACTGCTGTAAAATTGTTGTTGCTACCTCTCTAGATGCAAGTGAATCGGGTACATCGTCTGATACTATCGCAATAGTCAGTTCTAACGTATTCATATAAGTGTAACCTGTCAACATGTGGTGGAACTATTTTTCAACCGCTCTCCCCCAGCGATTCTCTCTCCCTTTTGCCGCTCCTCTTTTTTCTAAAACTTCCGTTACGGCTAATGCTACTGGCGCCTCTGGTACTACTGGTAACACTCCCTGTAGCATAAGAATGATTTTCGAAACCCTTATTCATGCCACTGAATTCATGGGTTTTAGATTAGAATAATGTGAATTGGGTTTTAAAATAAGTAAAGGATGGCAAACCTCATGCTTTTTTGTCTCCTCTTTTTTCATTCGGCCTCTGAGACGCCATTTTAAAATGCTGCAACCTACTCATTACCATACACCTATTAGTGACCGAGCACTTGAATTACCGTGAAAATCCCTTCAATCATCACATCCCTCGGCAACCTTTCATTTTCGTTTCTGCCTTTAGTACTGCTACCATTGCTCCAACTGCTGCTGTTCTATCTGTAGTTGTTGCTACCTCAACTTATCGCTACCAACGCAGCGGTAAATTCTTTTGTCAATATGCCGTGAAAGTATTTTTCAGGCACTGTATCCTCCAACGATCTTCCTATTACTGCTACAACTGTTGCCCACTGCAGCAACTACAACTGCTTCTATTGGAATAGCGTGAGGGCCGCTGGTCAAGGTTTAAGCAAAAGTCTGTGATATCCCCATGTTCTGTGTCTGTTTTATTTTTTTCAACTATCTAGATGGGGTAAACTACTGGTTTCACCGTTTTGTGGTACTTCTGACGCAGCCGTAATGACCCAGTGGCTCTATCACCGCTACTAACGCCTCCTCTCTACGCATATTTCAGCTATCGTCGCTACTGCTGGCATTACTTCCACCAGTAGAATATATTTTAACGACTTTTCGGTAATTGGGCCTCTAAACGTCATTAAACTTCATTCGGTCGTTTTCTGCAATTGCTGCTGCAATTATTGTTGTTGTAGCCGCTACTTCGGCTTCTGTGACTACAAATTCCTCCAATACCGCTGCTTCTGTAACTATACCCGCTTCGACAGTCAGTGTCGTTAATGCAACTGCTACTAAAACTGATGCAGCAGTGGAATATTAGTGGCATAAGTTATAAGCATACAGCTTTTGTATATTCTTATTCCACCATTGTTCTGAGAATTTAAGGGTTTTTCTTGGTAGAGAATACGTAGTTTTACCCTTTTAACTTTTCAAGTTGTCACAGAATGTCTACCATATTTTGCTCTAGAGTGGTTAATATTGTTCCATTGCCATACTTCAAAATGCCATACTGTAAGGACGATGAGTAGCGATTGAAATTGTCGTAATTCTCTGCAGTTCTGCTTAAAAATTATGCGACGATGAAAATTTTGGCTCTCTTTAGATGGTGTTGGGTGGAGCTTCAACCCTGTTATCTGCTATGGTGCTTTGCGATCTAGAGTACTTAGTACTTGAAATCTTCGTATTGTAAAATGATGGCGGCTGTGATACCGATTTAGGTCGTTTTTTTGGCATTAAGTTCATGGATTAGGGATTAAGGATCGAAGCCCGGAGTAAATTGGAATTGTTTCCATAGTCTCGTACAAACGTTGCTCTTTTTGTCTTCCGTCCCATGAAACAATTTAACTTTGTTTATTTTCTCGTGTAACCTCTTTAAGGTACCTGTGCCCAATCATCCATCAGTAGCCAAGTTTTTAGATCTACCGTGGGAGTTTCTCTTATCATTTGACCCTTCAGTAGCCCTTCGCTATTACTGTAGTACCTTGATACTTCTCTGCGGACGAGAGAAGGCAATACTAGGGCAGAGTATATGTATTACCAACGTATTGGGCTACTAGCAGGGCTCGGAAGCCATAGCCTTCAGCAGAAGCACAAGGACGGAGCATTAAGTGCCCAAAAAACCAAAATGAAGAGTTAAACAAATAATCAGAATTTTACATAGCCCCTCCCTCATTTTAAATGGTGTCCCCGGCGCGTCTGCTCGTCAATCTCCTGCGTCAGCCACTACAGCGTAGTCGGTGCTGTAAGGCAACACCCACGAATCAACCGCGCCAGTCGTCGGATTTGCGTGCAGATGAGAAGATACCTGACTGTAGCGTTATTTATATCTCTTAGCAGATTCACTGAATCTGGAGTTTCGTCCTGTTTGGGAACTGTATTGGCGAAAATGAGTACTGTGCTGGCCATCTCGTATGTTTGTCGCCACTCGTAGGAACACTTTCCTAAAGGCAGTTATTACATGATGGACGGGGGTTAAAATACTTTTATGGAGGCAAGGTTTCCCGTCTATTTCTCCTTGCCACTTCGTTGTCACTTCAGTGCTGCCCGGCCGTATATCCATCTGTATTCTTTCCAGCCAGTAGAGAGGTGGCGGTATTGCGTGTCCGCTTCATTGACGTCCTCACACAGGTACCGTAGACAGCTCCGTACCGAACTCTTCCAGATGATTCAATCAGTGTCGCTTCGGTTATGAATAGCATCCATGTAGAACACGGGACCTGGACGGTTGCCAAAGTAGGCGTCATTTTCTATCCTTCTGTTAGGGGTGGTCATGGATTCCACTATCTGTGGCCTACATCCTTTCCCCGTCGAGTTAATTTTTAGCATTAAGGAATGAACTTGAAGACTGATGTCCTTTATGATCGGGTTTGCTTGTCGTTTTCACCATTAGAGCACCTCAAAAGTTCCCCGAAGACGAAAGAAATCATAAAACTAGGGCAGGAGGTGTATTGCCGATGTACAGAAGGGCTGGGAGGAGGGCTACTGGCACGGCCCAACGGAAGTACAGTCGTGGAGCCTTAGGTGTTCTTGAAATCAAAACGAAAAGTTAAACAAATAATCAAAATATTTATTGTCGGAGTTTCTTTTATCATTTGACCTCTCAATGGTTCTGCCAATCACCACTGCCCCTACTTGCGATTACTCATCCAGTTAGATTTTCATTGACCCAACTTGCAGTAATAGTGTTGATGTATTTTTCCGTTAGTTTATCTCTCCACAATTATGACTGTTTTGCTTCACCTTCTATCTCTGCTTTTGCAGTTGGTAGTGCTCCCGCTACTTCTAATTCTAATTCTACATCTCTACAATTGTCGCGCAAACTGGCGTAACGTTTCAATAGCAGCGACATAGGTTATGATGATACGCCTGTTCCATTCTTTTTTATTCTACACGTCTGAGGATGAATTAAAAAGTAATCTGGATGAAATATACATGCATTTTTAGCTGTTCAATTCCGGCAAAAATGTTTTTTGTGCTCTATTTCGATCTACAGATGTTGGTATGGTTTATGTGCCTGTGGTTGTGTGCGCAGGATTCTTGGATGGTAGGTGGCAAATGTTATAGTGATCAAAAGACGGATTATTAAGGCTTTGAAAAAGTATTTAAAATGCTTTTCCGTTCGGGGGTTTTGTTGGGATATTATTCATCAACATTCTCCTGAAATTGTTGACTGTTAAAAGTAAAGACAGTGTCATTGGCAAACCCCGAACTCTGGTTAAATACAATTTGGGTGTAGATGGGCGTGGCAAATTTTACTTTTGGCACTCTTTATTGAAATCCTGATAGAGGCTTTGTGAGGCCACCTAATTAATCCCTCTGTTAATTTTGGTTTTAGCCACATAATGCAATGTGATTCATTGGAAGGATTAACGACTGTGCTGGTAATGCTAAAAGGTTATGCTTGAACACCGTCGTGAAATGCCCCCATTGAATTTTTAATTTCCATTTTTCCTTCAATTTCAGTGTAAACGGAGCTCTTGCTTTCTTGGTATCAACCCTTGATGCCAAAAATCCCAACAAGGACGTGGAAATTAAAGCCAATAGTGGAGGCGTCTTACGTAACCTCTGTCCCGTGATTGTCAATAGCCTGGAGTATCGGTAAGCGTTCGAAGATGTCCTCTTTCCCAGTGTTTCCTCATCCCTTATTATTCGATTCTCGTTGAACTGATTGTAGGGCAGTGCTTCGGACGCACAACTGCATCTCAATTCTTCTGGAACAGCTACGGACATCACCAAGCGTTACGGTTGTGGTAAATGTCTGCGAGGTTTTGGGGGCGCTCTCGGCGACACCCCTTCGTGACGCTAAACCCAGTTCAGCTCTCCTGTTTGAGTCCGCTACCACGGATCAAGCTCTAATGATCCGTCTGGGCGCTCTCGATATTCTCCATCGCCTGGCACACTCTCGTCATCGCTATGTTGTCAGTAGTTCCAAACAGGCTCTGGAAAACCTCGAACGAGCCCACGTTCTCATAAAGAACCAGCGTGTGGTTCCCTACCCTGCCAACACAGAGGCTTCCTCCTTCAATCCCCCCACCACAACTACCAGTCCTGTCACAAGTAACCAATCCTCTCCCGGTTCCACTTCTCCTGCTTCACCGGCGGAGCAGGTCTACCGTCGGCGGATGAGCAATCGGTCGCACCTACGCTTTGGTCTGCTCTCCGTGGTTCTAGAGACTGACGATGACTTCGAGGAGGAGGAAGAGAGTAGTGATGAGGAATCTAGTAGCGACGAAGATGAAGAGGAGGGAGCTGATGAGGTGGATAGTGTTCCGGAGGAGGAACGAAGCACTGAGTGCTCCTCAAAGGTATCGGAAGCTGGTGGAGAGGAGGAGGCGGAGTTCAAACTACCAGAGTATCCTCCCACTCCCGATGATCATCATGTGAATACCTCGGTGGAGAAACCGCCAACTCCGCCTCCACCACCTGGCTATGCTCAAGGGTCAGTGGAAGAGGAGGAACAAGCGTGCGTGTACGCGGAAGAGGGGACACCCTTTGGACCCTCTGCCCGGGCTTCCACGCTTGATCTACGTTCGCCTCCAAAACCGGAGACTTCTATTGTTTATGACAACTTTATTCCCTCACAACGCCGCTCCGTTCACCCCTATGTCAACGTCGATATTTCAAGCAAAAGCACCGCGCTAAAACAGGTCTCTTCCAGTGAAGTCTCTTCTCCCGGTTTTGAGACTTCTTCCACTGGAGTCGTTCTGGAGACTCCACTCATGTTTTCCAGAGCTACTTCCTCGTGTATCTCATCAGTCGATTTCGGACCTCTTCCACCGATTGAGTCATCACCAGAGAGTGTTTACTCTGTTGCTTTGGATGATGATGATGGAGATCCAAATGAGGCAATTGCTCTTGGCACGAGTCCTAGTAATCTTCCCCCTTCATTGATTGATGATGGAAAGAAATCCACGGCACTAGATAACGAGGAAAAGATGGGTGTGGTGGAGGAGGAGACTCAGATAATGTTCGCAGAAGAAGGTTCCCCACTGGACAGCAGTTCCCTTAGTGGCGACCGCGAGTCTGCAGTGGCTGCGCCACCGATGTGGAGTGCTCCAGAATCCACAGTGGACAGTGTTCAGTCCTCTCATAACATACTTCAGCAGTGCATCGCTTCGGTGATGCCCTCTGCTTCATTGACAACTCAGCAAACAGTCGGTTATCCAGATGATGGTGTAGGTGCTGCAGCCGCTCCCACCGAGGACACAATGCAGTCCTTCGCAGTAGAAGGCACACCATTTGTCTTCTCCACAAAGAATAGTTCACTTAGCGACGTTTCGATCACGGATCTGGAAGGCGGTTGCGGAGGCACTTCTGTTTCATCAGAACTTTCGAAATCGGCGTCACCAAGACAATCAATGTTGAAGGCCGAGGTGTACACATGCTCTACGGAGGATGCAAGCTCCGTAAACGAGGCAGAGGAAGAGGAAGGGTCTGTGAACCTTCTCTCCGAAGTCATCCAGTCGGCGTTACCGAAACAGGGCGGATATGCGACAGCGGGAGGACGAACTGAGGTCGTTAATATCGATAGTGCTGAAGACGTTTCGGCGATGGGACATAATAAGACAATCGGTGGGAGTAAGCTAGTTGCTCCAAGGATTGGATTTGGGCACCCCATGCAACAGAGGAGACCACAAGCTACTGTGGCCCCGATGCGACAACGAAATACTGAAGGTGGGTTTAAATGAAGTTCATTTTTATTTGCGATAGGTAATTAATGGTCTGCGAAACCTTGTAAATGCCTTTCAAAACGGACCAAGTGTATTGAATTCGGTCTGATTTTATCGTTCAACAAGGCGTAGTAATTTTTTGTGACTAGAGCCAGTTGTAGGGTCTATGACCCCTGTAATTGGATGAATGTGGGACTTGCTTAAAGTTAATTTCTATCTCCATAGTCAAAATCCCAAAATGAATTCGTTATTGTCGCTTTTGTCTAGGGGTCCTTTTGAGATTGATACTCCATTTCTGACTTCTACTTCTGACAGCTTTCAACTTTACCGCTTGCCTTCAGGCAATTCCGAGACGTGCCTATGTTTGGCGTTGGTAAAAAGTCCAAATCCTATGAGCTATTCCCACCTTGTCGGTCGAAGTAAATTCTAGTACCCAAAGTTTTGCTTCGAAACTCGAGTTTTGACCATTATACGTGTCATATTCCTCGATTCTGAGCTTACGGCGGCGGTTATTAACCAGTTACGCAGTTGAAATTCAAAACCGAGATGAATTACTCTCTGGACCTTTTTGACTTTTTAGGAGAGCAAACGGTGTCTGCCGATGAGACCACGAAATCCGAAGGAAAACAGAGTTGCGGAAGTGATGCTGACAACTCCTCCTTCTCTTCGCTCCTAAGTATCGAGTCTGTCGGTGTTGAAACTAGTCTTCTTCAAGTAAGTATCACCTTTTTAAGATACCTCAAAGGATTTGATGTTGACCAACTCATTTTCTCGTATTTTAGGAATGCATTTCTTCGGCAATGCCAACACCTAGACTCCCAATTTCATCCTCCAGCCGTGGGATTGTTGAAGCCAAAATCGCAGAACCTTCTCGACAGCCTTTTGGCTATTCGCTTCCAGCTCCATCCGCGACTGCACCAATCACGACACCGGTCTCACCGCATTCACAATCACCTTCTCCACTCGCCGTGTCTGAAATTGCAACAGGCCATAGACAGCAGCAAAGTCAGCAACAGCATCAAGTTCTGCTTCAACCACGCCGGCATCAGATGACGTCTATCAGCAGTAGTAGTGCAGGGGGCAGTGTCAGCGGACTCCGAAGGGCGGGACATTTTTTAGCTCATGGTTCCGGCACTGCAGACGCTCATACCAGCAGGCCGGAGACCACCCAGATCCAAGTCAACAGCCCTTCCACCATCGTCGTCACCAACGCCACCAGTCGCCTTGCCCAAATGGGGAAACAGACGAACGTGAAGACGGTCGTGGGATCAGCAGTGGCCCCAGCTCGCGACAACGTAGCAGTGCGAGCTCTAAGGGCTCCTCACTTAATGTCTGGCATCGCCTCACGAGACAGCGCTAAGACATCTTCAGGCGCTGCTGCTATCTCTGTTAGCACCAACATACCCACTACTGGTGCGCTAAAGGGAGCCTATTTTTATAGAGTCGCCTAAAACTAGCATCAAAAGATTACATTTTATGCACCCGTTTTGCAAAAATAGCGGCCATCTTTCTCCGGTTTCCCTGCACTGGGCAACAACTGGTGTTTGATATTTGAAGGCGCTTCAAGTAGCATTTTTTTGGGGGTTTCTTGAGCACGTTAGCCTTTCAACCTTATCTGCATCAAACTAGTGATTCATTTACAATTTGTGTGTTGGGAAGCATTGAAAAGTGTCATTATAGATCGTCAGACATTTTAATTCGCCTAGTAAGCTCTTCGCATCCATTAGGAGACTTACGGAAAATGCTTGGTAACAGATTTTTGCAATTTCCAAACGTTCAAAAAGTCGATTTACTACTGTTCATCTGTTATCGACTAATCACTTTCACCTTTCAGTTTTGAAGCCCTTTGAAGTGGACAAGAAGGGGAATGAAGACGAGTTCTTCCCACTGCCTCCACCCTCGTGTAACTTTGACGCTGACGATGATTCTGTGACTTTGGTGGGCGACAGCAGCCCACCTTGGAGACCGTCTCCACCATCTACACCATCTCCCCATGGCGACAATACTGTAAGCTGAGAGTTCGGGCTTGCATTTCACTTTACACAATTGTTTCTACTTGCACAATTCGAGTAAACCCAGTTGTGTAATTTCAACGTACAGGTTGAAGATCAGGACGATGAGTTGTTGGATCTCGACGCAGTAATGAATCAATCCGGTGGCAACTTTGATCTAGAAGAGGAGTCTCAGAAAACATCTGAACTTCTGCCACTGAAGGACTCGACCACTCCGTTAAGCATCAAGCCGCCTACCATGATAGCACCTAGCAACCGTCAGATCGCCAGTTCGAGCTCGAGTTTCTTGCGACCACCCACCACGGGACTCCGTAGGCCCGCCACTGGGTTACTCTCCCGTTCAAGACCAACTGCTGCATCATCTTTAACCTCCTCCGCATCATCCTCGACTTCCGTCTCACCTCAGCGTCCGCCTGGCGTTAGGACCCAATCGGCCACTCCGTCTCCATCCGCTATTAGCGGTAGTTTACCTCAGGTATTGCAATCAGATACTAGAAATTAAACTAGGTTTGATCATTCTGCATCATTACTTTCTTTTAAGATTGGACATGCGTATGGAACCCATGTTTAATAAATTATGAATTATTAGATAAATGTTGGGCAACATTGCCCATATAAGACCTTAAGTGTTCATTGCTTGTCATCAAGTGATTGGCAGTTGTTTTGTCAATCTGTCATCTTTATTGAGATGTAAAAGGTGGCTGTTTTACCCCTTGTGCTAGTGATTTCCCCCTATCTTACGATTAAATTTGTAGTCGTGTGCACGGTAATGTTAGATTCTAAACGAACTTAACAAGGTTCTTTTCCTGAGTAGTTTCATGCCTTATTGTTAAAGGTGTCCATTCCCCCTGATCGTAAAACGTATTATTTTTCCCCATAGTCCTCCAAGTTCCACTTGACTGCTTCTTCCACCTCTTTGCCTCGACTTGGAACTCCATCGACAAGAAGAACACTGACCGAAGGAACGCGGTCACTGGTGGCTAAGCGCTCTATTTCCGCCACCGGCAGTATGACCTCTGGCCTCGCTACGCCTTCCCGTTACGCCACCACACCTGCACCATCGGCGTCGATGACTACGCGTAGCCTCGGTGTCAGTCAGTCTTGTAGCATTGGAAACATGGGATCAGCGCGTAGTGCACCACGGCCTGGTCTCAAGCCATCACCGTCCTCCACTCCCACCATAAGTGTGTCGAAAAAGCCAGCTATGGCAGCTGTTCCGAAAAAGGTAATCAGGACGGGAGCTCGCAGCGAGGCACTGGCAGAGGAGAGACAGCAACTGCGTCTCCAGGAGGAAGCAAAAGGAGTCCGTGGAGGGCGCAAGGTTTCTGCCTCAACAGGTCTGCTCTTCCAAACTTTTGCCTCTGTTAATGTGCTGTGACTTTGTTTAAGAAGCTAAAACTCCTCCCTGGTAGCGATTATGCTGATAAGAAACAGAATCTTTACTTTCTCAATATTTTGAATCTCTTTATCCCCTTTGAATTTCCCTAATTTTGTGACGCAAAAAGTAAGATTATTCATTGTTACGATTTCTCCTCAAGCAATTCACGAATTAACATGAGACGTGCCAGTATGAAAGTGGGTTCATTACTGGGGTACAAAAAGGCTGAGGGACTGGAGTTATTTATGGATGGGAATACTACCAAGATGGTAGAATTCAGGTGGCTGAGGAGTCTATGTTGTTAAATGAATATTCAATCAAATGTACTTCTGCGGAGTTGAATTAGGGAAATAAGCGATTTTGAATCTCGTTAAAAATATTCTCTAGTTGCAATTTTTTCCTTTGTCTTCCAGTTCGAAAATCAAGGATGACTGAAACCCCCTCTGCCCACCACACTACCCCAGCCAAAGGGATCATCCCTTCACCGCATCTAGCCCCAATGTCTGTCGTTCGGCAGAAATCCGGATTAAACACCATTCGTCCAGTCAGCCAGACTTCTCTGCCGTCTCCAACACCGACGACGTTGGTCACCGAACGGGCCGCAACGTCCGGTCTGAAACCGCCCGGTTTTTCATCGTCTTCCCCGAGTGGCTCAGCGCTCCGCCCCCCACAGACACGCATCGCTAGGCCTCCACCGGCTTCTACGTCACCAACACCAACATTGAAGACTCCTCCCTCTTTAGCGGTTGTTCAAACGGCGGACCAGTGGATTGTCCGGCGTGAACTTACCAGCTAGGGGCTCCCGGTTGTCGGGATCCATCACTCTTCCCCTCTGCATTTTTAGACGACTTTCTCATTACCTTAGTTGGTTCACCTTCACTCATCTCCACTGATCTATGCATTGTGACAAACCCTGCATGCATGTCTCGGTCGCTGTTTGTATCTCTTTCGCTGCTTCCTCGCCTTTTAGTGTGTAAACATCATCTCTCTCAATTATCATCATTACTGTGTGACCTCCTTGCTCCAAGCTAAAGTACGTTCTGGCTCTAACCCCTCTCTTTTTTCTCAGTTTTGATGCCAATACATCACCATTAATCATTTGTAATGTCAGCTTTTTTTGAGTTGGGAAGGAATTACGGCTTCGCTTGAAGTGTCACTTAATTCTATTTCAATAGGCGGTTTATTCAAGGTTGGAAACTACTCAGTCATCACCTTGGATTTTGCCATTGTTAAGTAGAAATAAATAAGGAATAAGAGGGAATCTTCACTTGGTAATTAAGATGGAATGATTAAGCGAAGAGTCCATCGACGGAATAGTGGGAATTGGAGTAGGAATCCTCCCAGCTATAACGTGAAAGAATTTAGTGATTGAGCTGATAAAAGCACGCCAAAATTCCATCCATACATCGAAGACGATGCCATTAGCTGTATCTAAACGTGTTTCCCGCCAAGGTCCCGGACGGAGGTTGATTACCACCGTCAGGACGCTTTGTTGTTCCGGTGCAACAAGATTTCCGAAATATGAAGTTAAGTGCTGCCTAGAAATTATGAAATGTAAGTATCCTATGCACAAGTGTAACCAACTGGATCCAGTCTCAGATAATGGGTTTCAAGACGCCACACATATGTGGCACTGGTTGCAAATGTTCTAAACAAAGCAGTAATTTGCTTTTTCCTGTGAATGGGAAAATCTCTATCGTCATTTTATGTATTTTATTGCTTTCTTTATCTCTTTCAAAAGTATTTTAAAATGTCTCTTTATCTAGTGTTTAGATCGGTTGGAACAAGCGTCTATCTTTCTAGCTAGACAGGAAAGTCGGTTTAGAGGACACTTTCTTAAAAAGCGTCCCATTTAAAGCATGTCTTGATCATTTATTTTAAAGTTTTACAGTAGAGTCGAAGTGTTGTGGTCGCCAAATCCTCCTGCTATATTTCAAGTGGCACCAGCATCTTAGCGTCTTCCATTTCATCACTACTGGCCGATTCGCAAGACCAAATTGTCAGATCAAAACTTTTACTCAGTTTTGCAAGTTAATAATTTGGTAACAGTCTTGACCGTACCTCGGAATGTTCCACGTTTAGGAGATTAATCAAAATAAACCCTATTTTTGAAGTGATAATCGGCCAGAAAATTGTACCTTGATATGTGAGAAAAGTGCAATATTCAGATAGCTCCTCCTAATTGAAACACCTAAGAAAAGTTGATATGTTTTATCTACCAAAATACAGACTTTACCAATTTTTTGATCCGAAATTCACTTCGACAGCACTTGTGCTAGGCAAACATCAGTATTTAGCATTACTAACGAACACCTTTCTTGGGAAACTGTTTGTACCGATGAGTCTGGGACTACTGGATAACTATAAAACCCAACTACCTCTTTGTACAATAAGATCTCATCCTCTGAAGAGACGTTTGATCATTCCTCCCATATCCGTCTGGCTGCTGTGGTCGACGAGATCATCTCTCTAGCTGTGGGTTTGTAGGGATATGGAGGGAATTGCTCGTATATCAGAGCCGTACCGAGATCGGTACATTATGTTATTTCCCCAATAATGTTTAGTAATCTAATTCAAAAATATGATGTTTCCCACAACATCACCTGTTTCTGCCGGGACTGGTCTGCGAGACAAGGCGTGTGCATTATCATGTATATTTTCCTTCCTGTACTGCGCTGTGAAATCCTACCGCTGCAGCTCCTAGTACCAACGCTCAACCAAACGATCTATCCCCTTCGTTGTTTTTAATCAGATCACTCAGAATCTGGCGATTCGTTCTAGCCATGAACTTCCTCTCTATCAGGCAATGTTTGAAGTGTCTATCCACTGTGAAGACAACAAACTCCTTTTGTGAGAGTATACTGCTAACGGCCACATTGTCACCGTCAGTATCCAGTGCGAATGGTGGAGCGCTTGGTTCAAAGTGCGGTAATGCTAGAATTGGTTTGGAGCAGAGCATTCGCCCCAGTACTTTGAACACTTCATCACACTCATTCTCCTACTTAAAATCCTTTTTTACCTGCTTTTCCATTTGACTCAGACTCCTCTTCGGCACATAGGCAACATTTCTCATTTTTAAAGTAGAAATGCGCACCTTCGCAGTCCATCCTTCTCACTGGCTAAATAACCAAAAGTTTTGTATTTCTATCAACTTATTTTAACCCCTTCTGCGCAGTTTGTCCATTCATTTGGAATGCATCTTGACACTTATTACTTGGACAAAAATCCTAGATTACATTTTGTCGAGAAAATCTATTAAAATCAATGATTTATCTAGTAATTTAGGCGCTATCACACTTAGTGAATTACCTCTATCACTTTTGTGATCAAGGCCTCTGAATGACAACCGGCCGACCCAGCCAACATACGGCAACTTTGCTTAAAGTCATGCCGTTCTACATCCAAAAATGTAGGACTTCCTACGTCTGCAGTGGTTTAAAAGCTAGTAATAACTACTAGCATCTGCTGTGACACTAGCGGAGAAAGCGTCAATTAGTTAACAAAACCGTTAATAAACAACTCGATTTCCCCCCCGTCAATGGCCAAAGTGTGGGCAATTAGTTGGCAGGGCAACCGTCGCACAAAAAAGTTAGCACAATAATGGATTCAGACATTTTTTGTTTAAATTTTCCTTCTTACACGAAAGTTTAGATAAATTTATCAATTCCATTTTGTTCTTTTAAAACACTTTGGGTTTTGTGGACGTTTTTCATCCTATGTTTTGATGCCTTTTTACCCGTACAATTAATTCCCTATACAATTGAGCGCTGTACTTTTTGTAAAGAGGATACGATTAGCCGGAGAGACAATCTGTCCATTTGTAGGATTACAAGGTCGAAGTGAGTTACAATGAATGGTCCTCTGGAAGTTCTGTGGCAAAATTGTAATGATCCCACGCATTTTACTCAGGATCTTCAATTTCCCTAAAATTGGGTTCCACACGACTGCACTTCTGGTCGCTCCGTCCACACCAGTTGTATCAACAGTCTATCGGCCTTTCTGAACCTAGATGGTGGATTATAAGCCAAATTCAATAACATTTTAAACCCTTGCGAGGGCTCAGTTGTTACAGTCATGGCAGTGGTGAATAAACCCAATCCAACTGACCAAAAACAAAGGTTTTATTGACGCAATACCAAATTTTAAGGGAGAATCCTTGTACTCTGGATGGCTGAACCTTTGGAAGCCAAATGCAGAAGGTAATTTACTGCTGCAATGAGACCAGATTGGAATGATTTGAAGACGTCCATTGTGGAGTCGAGTACAAAATATGGACAGAAGCATATCAGTTATGCAAATGTCTTTCTTCCTCCCTCCTCCCAACGTTCTCCGTAGCGGAATGAAACTCCTGATGGTTGGGTGATAGCAAATTGGAGTGTGGTGCTGAGGAGACTAAACACCAGCTCTAATAACCTAACTCGTAAATTTTATCAGTTGGTTTCATTTTGTGACATATGCACATGGAAATAAAGATAGGGCAATGAACCACGTCGAGGAGCACAAAATCAGTGATAGTCGACTGTACAAGTCACAAGGAGTGCATGACAAGGAACTTATCGGGATCGGCGAGGCATGTGACCGACTTTGTCACCAGACACCTTGCAGCTAGGGCGTTTTTCAGGGCACCGACTCTGCGAATAACGCCTTGGATGACGACTAAAAGTAGAGGTTGATTGTGCGCGATAACCTTTTTAAAGCTGTATGCTTAACCGTGCGGGGCCTATCAATTTCGTGGCCTTCTTCATTATCTTGTCGCAATAGCGTTTCATACCTCTCATTCTGTCCGCAGTCGTGCATCTTATAGCATCTTAGGAAGGACTTGGGTGCCACAACAGCCTCGTTATTTAAGTTGATTTATTACTTAAACACGAAACTGTGTAATGCTGTCAACAAATACCTCCCAAGGACTACAATTAAAGGAGTCAAATTAGCGAAATAGTCCACGCGCCGGTGCCAAAAACAATATTCTCTCTTCTTAAATTCGGGCCTAAAAGCAATTAATTAAGCTGACGGTGATTTTTAGAGGGCTTAAATATTTTTTAGGTGATGGTAAAAATGGCTACAAAAGATTTGCTAGTTTTACGAGGAAAAGCGTCTCTTCTTCTTTATTAATAAGGGCAAAAGATTCGGAAGATTGGGCTTTAATTTAATACAGCAGAATAAAACTTCCTGGAGTAGTCACCGTAATACATATGGGTATTCCTCATTCCAATATTTGTCTAAAGTTTTAGCATTTCGGGAGGGGCGATTTATTTAAAGGAATTGCTAATTCCTTGTTGAGGTACTCAAATTGCTAGGGATGTCAACAACCCCAAGATTGCACTCAGGTTTTATAGGGTCTTAGGGGTTTCGTTCCGGTTATTGTCTCCACTGACATTTTTTATTATCCCTTAATTTGTATCGATTACTATTACATTTGTATCTCTAATCACCATAAGTTCACGGTTATTAAAAATACCATGGATATGCAAGACTGGAACCACCCCTGTGTCCCGATTACCCGGTCAACAATCACGCTGACTCGCAGCGTTAGCAAATGGAACCATCCGAATCGAAGTCTTTGTCTTCCAAGTACTCTGGTTGGGAACTCGACAGGTCTCAAGGTCAAACCTGCAATAGTGAATTCGCAGTGTTGGAAAGGCATGCTACAGTAGGGACAGACCTCTAGAGTCAGTCAGGCCACCCTTAGCCAAGATGACAGTAGCAATCGCATGTAACGAAAAAATTTTTAATGGACATAAGTGCAAAACTCATAAAGATCTGTAAAATAGCTCACAGGCATCGCTGTGCCAGGATGCTTAACGATGGTGAGCTGTTTGAATGATGCAGCTGTTACAAGGGCTGGTAATGACGGCTTTGCTTGAGATAAATTTCTACCTCACAGCCTCAAAAGTCATTTCTGTGTAATGCCTAATTCTGGATACCTCACTTCCGGGTAATAAGTGATAAAAAAGCTGAAAGGATAGACGAATCTGCAGAGATGGCAAACAAGATGATTTACAAAGGCTGGCAATTTGAAGAAGTCAGCACACGCAGAATGGCAGATGGCTCTTCAACCTGGATCAGCACAGAGTAATTGAATTTCGCAATGGGGCGACGGCGCATTTTGGTGAGAAAGGCCAGTATTTTCTCCAACGCATCATTATAGGCTGCGAAGTCTGAGTCTTAGAAGGTGCACTGACAACGAAGTGAAGTTAGACTGTCCTAGAATAGGTCGTGCTGCATAGGGTCATGGTTCCCCGTCTACTTTCACAACGCTTGATGAGGTAACGTGATCCCTAATGCTCCAGACAGCTTTTTTAGGTAATGTCGAGCATTGTATATCGTGTGTGCCCCTTAAGCAAAATAAAAACATTTTTAATGGCTTGCCCTACCCTAATCTCTTGGCTTACACCCCGAAACCAAACGCATTGCTGTTACATTGCCATTGTTACACTCGTGAAAAGATCAAAGCCGTGATACATTCAGAAATTTGGTGTAAAAATTATTGTGCAAAAATCGGCGGCATATGACTGAAAAAACTCTATTATTTTAGTAGTTAGTGACTATATTTTGCTCATTCACCCTTATTTAAGGCAGCTCGTCGTTGTGGCGGCATTTTTGCTGCTCCAAAATTTCAGTCTTTACAGATGAAGGTCCAATATTTTGGTAAGGGTGAGATCTAACAATAAACTAGAATTCAACCTCACGACTGGTATAGTGAAGCACGAAACATTTGGAAAATGTAATTTCCTTTTTCCTGATGACTGATTAAGCGTGAGCTGAAGTACTCCGCCTCAAGCCGTGATTTATCCCACGAAAAATTTCTCGATTTGACTAACAAAATAAGTTTAGCAAAAGTAAAACCAGCCATTACTTATTTCAAATGTATAACTTTGGCTGTTTGTTTAGCTCTTCACTTTGGCTTCGCCGGCACTTGAGGCTCGGCTATTGTGCTTCCGCTGGGTGGCATGGCCTCTAGGACACCCAATACCTTGCCAAGCCTTCCGTACTTCAGCGCCACGACTTCAGGAAGGACCGGAAGCGCCATTCCTAGGGAGAGCAAGAAGTTTTAATTGTTTCAGCTTGAAAGTGTGGAATATTGCTTAATTTCCGTCGTCGGGCTAACCGACTTAAAAAAGTGACCTCCAAAGTTTGGGATTTTTACAGCTCCAATAAATGGCTGTCTATATAACTTCTGCCTTGCATAAAGCCAATCAATTCAGCAAGCGAAGGCAGCTACTTTTTAACAATAAATATACAGTTGTTTGGGTTTTAAGTATTTTTCTTCCTTTAGGGTATTCTGATTACCATTGTGGTTCAAATGCCGGAACCATATTTTTCTTAATTGTGGAGCTATTTGTAAAGTCAGTTTATTCAGTAGCTTATGAACTCAAAATTTTTGATGAAGTCTCTGTGGATCCACCTTATAAAGTGCGAGAATTTCTCCATCTATCAACTATCCCACACAGTTGAGATAGATTTTTCTGCTATTTGAAAACATCCACATCGGTAAGCGCTAGATAAATCGTCATTTTTATCTTTTACCTGACCTTTGCCTGGGGAACTCTAAGACAACTTCGACAGACTAAAGAGTCATAAAAGTCTTTAATACCCATAAAAAAATCTATTTTTGACCCAAATGGTTTAATTAACGGGAAAATCGTAGTCGAACAAATGCAACAGGACACAGCAATGTTCGTGGAAATGTGTAAGGCCTCCACTAAAGAATCTTCAGCCGAACCTGCAAAAATGTACATAAAAAAACACTTAGATCCAAGTTTCAACCAGTTTGTTGATTTGTTAGATAGACGGTGATCATACCTTGGTCGTCCAATGATCGCGAAGTACTCATTCACTTGTCGCAGATAGTCTCGCAAAGCGGCAGGATTGCTAAGAACAGATTCGGGCGGGTTGATGATCGAGAGAGGATCAGCTCGCTTTGCATAGTCAATGTTGGTGAGACCATCATCCAACACGTCTATAGGAGCATACAGCGGTGGAGGATACTGCAACTGATCCTGTTGTTGCTGCTCCATTTGGTGTCTAAGGGCAGTCGCGGCTCGTGCCAACCGACGCTCGTCAATGTGTAGACCAGCGGTGTTCAGCGGAACCATTAAGGTTAGAAGAACAGCCAAATGGATGGGTGCTGATTTCATGAAGGCAAACATCTCTTCCCAATCTGAAATTGGACAGTAATTAACCACTTAGAAAGAAAGTATGGGGTTAATTAAGCTTTTTCTTGGTGGTCAGGCCCCTTCATTAGTAATTATGGATATCGTAGGTTAATTCGTGAAAAAGTTGCTTTTCATGTTTTTGTCAGAAGGTATAACTAGACAGTGTTAACTACAGGTCAGATATTACTGACATCTTTGAGGGGTATCGTTGAGATGATACTATAAACTGTGAACGTGAAATGAATAACAGTTGGGAAGTAGGAGTACATTACCTAGGCGTAAAGATTTCTGGAATTCATTTCAACTGAAAATTACAACATCTTAAATTAAAAAGTTTATTTTTTGGGAGAATGGGGAAAGTGTTTTAAAACATGAAGGCAAAATCACGATGGCTGCTCCATGTAAGTAAGCTCTCGTTGAAATGCAAACTACGAAAGAGTCGACAAATGAAGAACAACTTACTGTTATTTGTGATTGTACGGCATCTGAAATGGCCTCTGCGCACCTCCGGTTTTTATACTCGAGGCGAGGACAAACGGACCAATGGGATATGTCCACTTGGTCTGACTACTTCCAACCTCCTCGATATCTATAGGCTGTGGGTGATATCAGGTTCTAGATAATGGTGCACTTTCTTTGCTTTTTAAAGTTGAAAGAAAATGAATTCTTAGCAAATTTATTTGTATTTTCACCTCTGTGATCAGAAATACGGGAAATGACCCACCACAATGGCGATCTGTTAAATGATTTGAGGTGTCCGGGACAAAATCCTCTTTTAGCCTTTAGGTTTAGCATAATGTACACACATTCAAAAGATGTTTGTTTATTTTATTTTAAGGATCAGGAGTTTCTCCTATTGATAAAATCTTGGGTGTTACCTCAAATAGCTTAATATCAAGTAAGGTAGGACGAGTCCTCAATTCATCGCCAAGGTTATCGAAATGGAGGGCAAAGAAAACGGAGTCGATGACAAAGTTACTTTAGTAAACCCGACAATAATATTCATGTCGACAAAGTGGCGCCTGAAGATGAACTTGTACCACGATTCCACTTCCAATTCCGGATGTAGTGCTCAAACCATGGGACCAATTCAAGAGTTGTTATGAAATCACTGCTGTCCCTGCCTATAAAAAAGTTTTTCTTGGTTTCGCCCATTTTTTAAACCACCCACTATTGTTGGGAATATTAAGAAAGGCGCATAGTACACCATTTAGGGAGGTAAGGCATTGAGGCAGAGGTCGTTATTGCAACCCAAATCAACTCAATTCAATCTAACTCCTGGCTTCAAAAATGGTAAAATTGACACAATTAAGCCTTTGAAGGTCTTTTATTTACTGAAAAAGTCAAATTCTTTATCATCTGAATAAATGACTGATGCTTGTAAAGGGTATACCGGTGTCTTGCTGGTAAGACTGTGGTTTTATGTAAATTATGGTGTACGAACATTAAATGAGCGTTTTGTTTTGCGGTACAATAATAAAATGCGGCGATTGTGGGTTCAATTCTTCGTTATAGCCGAGTTAAAAGTCGCGCGACGCTACTATAAGTAGAGCTAGCATTGTAGTGTTTTCCCAACTTTACTGAAGCAATATAAATGATCGAAATAAGAACTGACTCTGAGACTCCCCATTCAAAGAGTAATCTAATATGAGGTTGGTAAGATGGTAACCTGGACTGAAAATTGCACCATTATTTGTAAAAAAAGATTTGATTTTGAAATCTACATTAGAAGTTTTGTTATTGATTGGATCTATTAATTGGTGTTTATGGATGTTTGCGTATATTAAAAATCACAGAATTATTGAAACCACAGGAAGATTGCGCTGATTTGATGCTCAAAATCCACCGAAACAACTTCACGGGGCGAGGGAGGACGGTGAAGGTCAGTATCATGGTTGCAGTGGTGTTTCACTCCTCCACAATTACACGCGGAGTGCTTTTAGAGAGCAAAAAGGCAGCAAGAAACTACTTTTTGGTCAGCAATGGGACTTTTAAAGGAATTTCAACTCCATAAACCCGAAGTCTTCATAAGTTCAATTAGTATTAATGGATTATTTTGTCAATTTGTGGAAGAACAGAAAGGCAAGCATTCTATTTCCCATCACTTAGTTCAATGGGTGTGCAGATATCGTCACGAAATTAAAGGCCACGCTAGAGGTTGTGGGTTCAGGATTATACCAACCTGAATGCGGCACAAGGCGACTTGGGTTTTTCCTTAACCAAAACCACTAGATGTAATTCTGTCTTTCTACGACTTGATTAATAAAACCACAGATAATGAATGGCCATATGTGTTGTTTACGTCCCTTGAATAGTTGAATGGACGAACTATATTCCAGTTAGATGAGATCTCCTTCTTTCAATGGAATAGCCAAGTTTTCTGAGGTACTCAAAAAAACTCCATCTTTGTTGGGAAAATGAGTTAATATTTCCAGCACTTTTTAGATATTTTGCCATAATATTATAAAAGCTTTTCGACCAAAAGGATATTTAATTGAGGTTTCTGCCTTGGTTTTATACCAAAATACTTGTTTGAATGAGCACTGTCCATATTTCGCGTCAAAATGAATGCGGTTCGAAACAGAGCTAGCAATGGTTGTTTGTCTGTAGTAAGTCAAACGTGTTCAAGCCAGCTTTCCCACCTACTCTCTTTCGTCCATGCACAAATCGTTTCATTTTGCAGACGGTGAAGAAGGCAAGACAAGTAGCGTTTAATGGTGGAGAATTGCAGTTAATCGTCATAGTCGGCGTGAAGAAAAACTCAAAATAGGTGAAAAAAATTCTCGTTTAAATGCTTTGGACCGATTAAGTGCCTACAAAGTTTCAACAGTTTTTAATATACTTCGACGGAACAACTTGTAACTTGTAAAGCCTTGTTCGATGCATTTAACTGTTAAAGCAAAGCAAACAGAGTCGTGCCATCCAAAACCCGTGTTTTTGAAATCAAAAGGTAAAAGACCAACCAAAGAATAACACTCTACCTCTCTTTTCTGGCGCCATCCTCGACGTTTTCTTGGTCAACCTCCCGCCTTGGCCATCACGATGTTGTTGGTATTGCCAAAAAACCCTCATGAAAACACCGCTAAAGTCGTGGAATTTTCCTGCAACTAAGAAGGCATTGGATCTTAACGTCACTGATCTCTCTTGGGAACTGCATTGTGGGATTGGAGGAATGTACTAACCATTTCATGTGTTCATCACTAATCATTGGAACACTGGCCTAAAAGCAGTCATTTAGTAAGAGACGGGATTCAAAAAAGTTAGGAGGAAATGAGGTTCCGCGTCTACTTCCACCCGCCAATTTCCTCTCACTGCTGCACTGCCCAGAAAATATCTCCCTGGATTCCATCCAGCCAGTAGAGAGGTTGGAGTAGGTGTTGTGCATTCACTTCGTTGACAGCTAGCATGACTTTATTTGGCAATCGCAATGTTTCAGAACACGGGACTGGGCAGTTGCTGAAAGTAGAGGTCATTTCCAAAGGTTTTGTTGAGGATCGTCACCGATTTTGCCATCAGCAGCACACTCCCTTCTTCCGTCGCATGAAGGCTTAGCATTCAGGAACGGGAATCAGAATCGTTTTCCTTTAGGATTGAGTTCGCTTTATATTACCACCAATTTAGCAATTTGAGACTCCCATTCGAAGAAAAATGTCAAAGTAATTAGGCAGAACATATACTGTGGACGTACAGAAGGGCCCAGGGGGTTAATGGCGTGGCCTAGCGGGTATACCACCATCGGAAGTGCAAAGGCAGTCTAAACTACTTGCGTAACCAAAACGAACAGTTAAACAATTAAGATATTACAGGACAAATTCTTTGACACTTTGAACCCTCATAAAGTGTTTATTGCCTGATTTATCAATTCGAAGGGGATTTTATAGGTGTAGAAGCTTTTCATCAAATTTTTGCAGCATTCATAGGAAATGTGATAGTTAAGTCAACTATTTAGAAATGGTCTACAGTTGTTAGGTTCCAGCGGCTGATCACTTGCACATTCGAGATCATTGTGTAACGTGTGTAACGTGGATGATGAGCACTAAGTGTGCACCGACATCAACTGAGCCGTAGAAGTTATGTAAATGGATACCTCCCACATACCCTAGTAGGTAATAATAAGCTTGAAGAACTTCACTTCATCCCCCTATGTAGAGTTTACACGGCGTCGAAAATTTTTGTGGACCGACTGATTGATCTGTGATAAGAAGTGGCTTTTGTATGCCAACAATAAGCCTGTGTGTTGATGTTCATCGACAAACGATTCATTACTTCACGCTTTAAATGAACAATCATTTTATTTGCAGAAGACTATGTCGGCTTCGTGTGTATTCGATTCTAGGCAGTATTGTTTACTATAAATTAAGTTCCAAAAACTTGCAGTTTGGAGTAACTCGATACATCTAACGCGAAGGTAAAGGAGAGTGGTTTCCTCTAGTAAAAGAGTCACAATCCTGGTCCTTTCAACTTTAGAACTGAAGGGGAACATTGGCTCATAAATGTTCTTCGCACTCTTCCACTACTCTACCGCTTACTTCTCATTTCTTTACATTAGCCGGCCGCATACGCTGGAGAATTGAGAAGTAAAAAGGAAGGTAGATCGTCAGTGGCTTCTTGAGACAGACTATTAATGAAGAGGAATTTGTGGGCTTCCGCCTCACACGAAACTTTTAACTGAATATTTAACGATCTAGACTCCTCAACTTCTGCAATTTGGACACCATGTAGCGCTCATATCTCTATCCATTCAGCTCCTGATCTACAATAATATGCGTTCTCTTCGGGCGCTGAGTCTGTGGCAGTACAAAGTCAACCCTTTCTGCTCAGACAGCAATCGCGATTTCGCCTAATGGTGTCACATCCAGATATCATGGTCGTCCGCTGCGGATGGCTTAGTCCGCAGAGAGTCACTACAAATGTACTTCCAAGAGTTCGTGTTGTCTCGCAAATCTTACAAATCATCAACTTTGTCCGCCGACAAATTATGGAACAGGATTTAT